GAGTTAAACTTCATGTTGCGTACCAAGGCAATGGAAAGCGGTGAGAGGAGGAAGGTGGAATGCAACCCTGGCCTTTAGCTGCGCCACGATGTTGTCTGTGCGCAAGGACACATGAACTGACTGTCGGTTTCTGTGTGGAGATGTTGTCCCCCCTGTTGCGCCCCCTTCCATTGGGTTGCAATCTCATCGCATACGCATCGTTGGCTTGTCATTCCATTTACATGCTATATGCTCACCGTTGCAGCCCACACACAAAATGCAATCGGGAGATGGGGCACCTACGATTTCGCTGCAATTGGTGCCGAAAATGCTGGCACCACTAGCCAGCCTGTGGGTGCCGCATGCCTTTGTGGTCTCCTTTAAGCTGGAAACGGACGAGAATCTATTGATAGTCAAGGCACGCGACAGCCTCAACAAATACAAGCATAAGGTAAACGATATTAACCCCACATTTGTGTTCAAAGTTACATACTGATCTCATTCTTTCGCGGATAATTTTTTTTTTTGGTAGCTGGTTATTGCCAACGTCCTGCAGACACGCAAACATCGTGTTGTCTTTGTAACACCGACAGATTCCTATGAGCTGCATTTGAGTCGCGAGCAAGCGCTGCAGGGCCTAGAGATAGAGGAGCCCATTGTGGCCGACGTGGTGAGTGCGGAACTTGCCTAACAAAAGGCTGTTCTCAACAGAAATATTTTGTTATATTTTTCCGTTTGCAGGTGCAAAAACATGGCGACTTCATCAGCAGCGCCGAGCAGCGCCAATGACCGTTGTCGATGCGCCGCCGGCAGCAGCAGCAGCAGCACTACCACCACCACCAGCACCAGCAGCAGCAGCAGCAGCAGCATTACCGCCAACTGCCAACCGACGGTAGCAGCAGTAGCAACGTCGACACCGCCGCAGCAACGGATTTTCGCGTGACCAGTTCGCATTATTGCCACGTCCTAAATCCGGGCACGCCGAGTTTCGGACGAAAATATTGAGCAGGTTATAGCGCCATGTCCATTTGCATATTTTGTACGTTTAATTTGTAGTTGTCTATATTAACGGTTAATATCTATCTTATGGTTACGCCCTAGACGGACGCATCATAATTGATGATGGTTGAATGAGCATGTTCTGTTGTGTTTTGTTTGTTATTCATGCATTTATCGTTGGCTGTTTGAAAAATGATGTCACCTTATGTATTACAAATTTCCATTTGACAGTATCTTCTTTATGCGTTCTCTGGCTCCCCATTTCTGTCATCAAGCATACGCACCGTGGTATATGGCTTTGACACAAGTCTGAGATCATCAATAATCAGTTTTGTTCGTGCTCACATTCCCTTGCGGCTCTCGTGGCCAGAGCATCGCGTGAGCACTCATCCACAAATTAGCCACCCGCACACTTACTTATATACTCGAACGAATGCAAACACCTACACACGTACAGGAGCTCTATAAAATTGCAATTTGCAGACCGGCCCTGACGACTGTCGGTTGCAGGCATTGCGACAATTGATTTACAAGCCGTGCATAGCAATGACTACAGCAAAAACAATAACAGCAACAACTGCGGAACCTGCCAAATGTCCTTGGCTGTTCAAATTTATGGTGGCGTATACTTAATGCCTTGACGCTTGTCTGGCTCAAGCAGGTCAAGTGGCGTTTAAAGGTCAGTTTTGAATACACTGCAACTCAACATGAAGTTCTGACAGCTGCCACTGGCAAATTAAAATTTAATTGGTGGCAAAAGAAGAAATATAGCAGAACCAGCAGACCAGCAAGAAAAACTAATTAACGCAGCGCCCGCAAAAAAAGGGCCGCAACACGAAATTCTTGTATATAGAACAAAACAGGAACCGACGTAGACAGCACAGACCATTGACAGCGGCAGCTGCCTCTCTGGCCTGTCAGGGTCTTGGGTCAGCCTTTTTTTCACATGTTTATTGCATGTTCTGTTGCTGTCGCCTTTTATCTACGGCTTTGCCGCCTAATCTACCTGCCTTAACTGTTCCCTGGTTGTGGCCTGTGCGACCAAAGGTCCAAAGCTAGCGCCACTTCCGGCCACATTTTCGCTTTCGGTTTTGTTTCAGCCCCAAACTAGGCAACATGTTTTTTTGTGCGCTCGTTCAGCAGCTGTGGCGTAATATTTAACAACTTTTCCTCTTTAATGTTTGTGCGCGCGTAAATGTGTTTGCGTATGTGTGGGCGGGTGGGTGTGTGAATGTGCAGCAAATTAGATTTTATTGTGTTCACACGTACAATACACAAACATGAATACATAAGAGGATAGTGAATTGAGTTAAGGCCCAATTTCAACGTGGACATGACAAGAAACAAGCTATCAAAACTTGCTAGTAGCAAATCAACTCTTAGAAGGAACTTTCCTCTCGTTTAAAATAATATAAGGGTTTGAGGCTCTGGCTATGCCTTTTATCTGACGCTTACCTTTCTTCAGCTAGGTTTGCTAAATCGGCAATTAGTCATTTATTTTTTCTATGACAAATAGAAATAATTTATAAATTTAAATGAGATCCTTTGGGTTTCTCGGTAACAATTTATCGTATGAAGTTTGTGCTCTTGGGCAGCTCGTGACGATCTCTGACGAGCTCTTGAAAAATCTAAATAAAGACTGTACATACTGATTGCACATACATATAAGCACCCACGCTTGAAGATTATAACCTGTTGCCACTTGTCGTATTTTCTGGATTGTGCTGTTTTTATTGCCGCACACGCTTCTACCCACAATCAACCCACACCGCAATTCGTGAGGGCACTTTAGTTTTTCTTGCCGACTTTGCTCCCATGCCACGCCCCCAACATTTGATACCCACTCACTTATTTATGCTCTATGCTCATGTATGTTTTCTTCTGCATCGATTCTGTATCGATTGCGCATTTAAAATACATACAAACATAAAAATTCTGTTCGCAAGCCAAATGACGTATAATAAAATATGTACTCGAATTTTGTGTGGGCAACTTGCCAAGAATGCGAGCGCAGGCTAAGGGCTTCACTCTGATTATTTCCAATTAGTTGAAGTCCTCTCTTACTTATCTGCAGTCATTTAGGAAGAGTGTGTTATAATAATTTAAATAGTTTATGTGTAAGTCAATAAAGAACTATTCATATCCGATTCATAGGACTGAATTCCATATTCTATATAAACACTTTGTAAGTTTTGTAATCTGCTTTGTAAATAATATTTTTTGTGAAAAGTCATTGCATGTCCAACTTATATAAAAGGCAAGAGAAATTACCGTAAATATCTAAATGATTTAAATAATCTTATTTGAATTTTCCATAAAATAGTCCAAAATTTAAACGAATTATATATTTGAGGAAAATCACTTTGAAAAATTCCAAAAAAAAGTCGAACTTATAAATTTAAAATAAATGTTCTTAGAAAACCTTCAATAAAATAAACCGCATCTTAAAATATCAATTGTCAATGAGAGCTGGAAAAGGTTTTAAAAGAACCCAAACAAAACAAAAACGAACCAATCCTTCAATGTTTTAATATTCTGAGCAATCGGACCAAAAATACAAATCAGATAAAAACGAAATAGAATTTGAAGTATACATATATCAGAAATTACGTTACATGAAATTGATATACACATTTAAATTAATAAACATAAGTATTTATTAAATCGAGCTAAGTGTATACATTCATATATATCTATATATCTATATACATAAATATATAATTGCGACTATTTATTCTATATAAATCGCAAGTTTATGTCTAAAATTGTTAAACAAATTTAAATATGAAATCAAAATTAAATTACTATGCAACAATCTATTTATTGTTGAAATCGGCCAAACTCTTATTAAAAAGATTACAAAAATATTAACTAACCAAACTATTACAGTGCAAATATAATAAGAATTTGAATAGCAACAACCAAACAAAAATCCGAAGGTATTTGTTAACTGTTATAAATTGTTTGTTTACATACATTAATGTTTACTGAATGAACTTTGTCTTATGTCTTGAGTCAACATTATGTGAATATAACTACAAATAATTACGTAATATTTATATAATATGTACTCCCATATATTTGAACGTGTGTGCATAAAACTGATGAAAAATAGCTTTAATTGTTTAAAATTCACTTTGTGTTTTCTTCTTTGGGAAATATGAGGTTGCATTTAGGGTGCACCAATAAAATTATGGTAGCTACTTGGTTGACACCCATTAGTTAATTATATATATTCAAAGAAAAAGGCAGTCCCTAGTAGAAGGGGAAAAAACGCAATTTCACACAATATATAGAGCTCTATACAGTGTTTAAATCCTTTTCATAATATGAACAATAAATGTTAGCAAATGGGAAACAGAATACGTCATGCCAGAAGTTAATTCAATGTTATCTACACTATATATAAAACTGTTTGTCCTGACTGGCTGACCATAAGAGGAATGTGATGAAAGTGCACGTTAATACGGGGTTTCGGGAAATTCCACCCGCATGTGTGAAAAAATCACGGAAAACGTTTGTATAAAACGAACGGCGAGCAAACAACAAAATATTTAAAATAAAAAGCAGTTTCAGCACCAGCTACCACCTTCAACATCGTACTGCTGAAGTGGCTTGCCAATGTTCAAAGGTGTTCTCCAATTGTAGTAGGATGTAGTGCATCTTTCGCGCAGGAATATTTGATAACTAGGCTTCGCACAAAGAGCTCAGCGAAAAACAGAACTCCGCATATTGCTATCGATAGGTCTGAGTGCATGGAATTGGAACGACCCGGTATCAAAGTTCTTGATCTCAACAAAACCTGGAACTCAATATGCTTGCATTTGGAATATATATAATATTTCTTGGGATTTTCGACTGGAGCACCATGGAGCCGCCCCAATACGACAAAATCAAAGAAACCCTTTGACTAACGATACTGCCCAATGCCGAGCAGGAATACAATATGAAACTACGCCGTCGCATTAATGTAGTCCATGCTCACTAAACTAGCTAGCTGGTTAGCCAAAGTGTTAAAGAAAAGGCACGATTAGTTCATCACAAAGTGTATTTACATATATTTACAAAAAAAGGTTAATGCTTGACGCTTGACTGAATTTTTAAATGCGTAACAGCTCTCAATTATTATTTTAGGGATTATTAATTTTCCAAATCAGTAAACTTAAACTTGAGTGGTATATTGGGCTTATTGATAAGCACCGAGCGAAAAGCATTCTCCGTCGAATGGTTGAACTCAACCCTGAAATTTCTTATAATTCTAGCAACGCCGAGCTCTAATTCCATATCGACAATGCGTTTACCTACGCACATGCGAGGCCCAAAACCGAATGGCAAAAAAACAAAGGGATTGGTTGTTTTTAAAGGATTTGCCGGGCACTTGGCCTCTGAACCCGTCTCATTGCGTATCCAGCGTTCTGGCAGAAACTCTAATGGTCGGGGAAAATATTTTTCACTAGTAAGCGAATTTAGGGGAACCATGGAGACGAATGTGCCTGCTGGCACCTTATAGCCACTCAAAACACAGTCACGATTAGTTGTCCGCGCATGACCAATCACAAGGGGCAGTAGTCGCTGCGATTCTTTGAGGCAGGCGCGCAGGTAGGGAACATTTTTCATGGATGCCTCTGTGAACTCCGAGTCTTTATTGGGGAGTACGCGCATGACCTCCTCGCGCAACTTATCCTGCTTATCCGGGTTGGTGGCAATCGACAACATCAGTGCGGAAAAAGTGCTTGCAGTCTAAGAAAAATTGAAATGAAATTTGATTCGTATTAGTTAACTATATGCTTACGGTATCGACGCCAGCCATCAGCATGTCCATGGCCATGACTATAGCCACTTTCTTATCTATCTTCAGCAATTTCTCGAGTACACTCTGTTCCCTTTCGGGTCGCACTAGGCCCCGCTGTGCCTCCGCGTTCAAGCGATCCAGTGCCTCATTCACGTAAGCCAGGGTCACCTTCTGTATGTTGTCGTAGGCATTCATCAACTTCTTTAACATTGGGGTCTGAATGTAGCGCCAAGGCGATGGTTGTACTTCTAAGACGGCGGCATACGTAAAGAACTCATCCAAACTTTTAAAGAGAAGCTTGGCGTTTTCATCAGTGAGCGAGTCCTTCAGGAGACCGAGCTGCTTGTCTAGCGCGACAACAGAGACCGATTCTAAAGTCCAGCTGTTTATATATTCTATAAAGTTGTCCGGAACCTCCAGGGTGTTGGGATTTCTTATGGCCTTAATACTGAGAGAAACGTTCGTAATAATTTGTATTTTAACTACAACAATGTTGGGTGAAAATTTGAAGCTGATCTGCTTACCGATCAACAAATTCGCAGTTGACCTGTGACATTTTCTTGTAGTAGAGTCTTACATTCTTCGGCTGCATTAGCACTGGATTTACAATACTGCGAAATTCACCCCACGCCTTACCTTGGGTAGGAATCAACCCTTCGACACCTTGAAAGAAATCCCTTCGATGTTTCTCGCGATGATATCTCATGGTATCGCTGCCTGGTCTATGCGGCCACACACCTTCATTACGAAAGACAACTTCAAAGTCCTTTGGATTATATGTGGTCAACACGGGATCGCTGCCAAAAATGCCTGGAATTCGAAAGATTTCACCATAGTCTCTACGCATTGCCAATATCAGTTGAGATAAATCCAGATTTTTATATTTCCCTCCGGGAAATACCATGTTAAAGGTTAGCGAAAGCGGATTGGCGTTAGGAACATCCTCATAGGGCCGTGCCTGTTGCCACTCGACATCATCTCTAGCGGCACTTGGTTCCTTAACTGCAGCTGCAGTACTTTGACAACACTTAAATAAATGATTGTAAGTATATTTAATCTAACAAGCGTATCTCACACTCACCTTCTCTGTAATCGCGCATGCATATAGGGCATGGGCCGCTTTGTGTGACTGACTTATGGCCAAATAATTGCGTAGTTTTAACATTTTGCACTCGCCGCGGTCTTCACCTGATTGACTCGAAAATTCAACTAACTTTTTGCAATGATCAATTAATGGAATGCCAGCAGTCCGCAAGCTTTTTTATGTTTACACACAGTCTAAACGTGGGAGAGCCAAATCTAATTCTCAAAAGCTTTCAGAAAGCGTATAGAAAAAACGTAAATAAATTAAATTATTTTTAGCGTATGCTTAGCTTAAAGGTTGTTGCTTTTCAAATTTGCTTTCTGATACGCGTCATATTATTTTGCATACATAATTTCTAACAGAGATTAATGAGAGAGTTCCTGACCTGATATAACACAATTTTAACGCTTTGTGCGTTAGAGACTTATCAATTATTCACAAGCTCAGTGATTATTAGTTATTAGTACAATAAAAATGTGTGTGATTATGCGATATTCGTACAGTGAAAATGCTTGTAATTTTAAAGGGTATCTCATAAACAAGCACAACATTCGTATAATGCATTAATATGGAATATTTAAAAGCTCTTACTGATAGTATTATTATCTAAAGCCATGACTGTGTGTGCCTCTACTCAAAAATATATGTATGCATGTGTAAGCTCTTGCAGCAAATTTCTGTATATATTGTAAGTCATTAAGCTTCACGCTTAACCTTTTGCCTATGTATGCGTGTTTACACATACAAAAAATCTAAAAAATTTGTATTTTCCTGGAACTCTCTTAATTTGTTAATTGAGACGCATTTGCAAATATTAGTAATGAGTTGTAGTGGGCTGGCTGAACTTTTATCGCTCAAGGTCAATCTCTAATTTCATTCCGACGCAAACAAGAATTCAAGAATTGTGGAAGTCTAGTTCAAAGCAAATAATATAGGAATTTTATATCCATATCATCGAAATATTGAAGTTTGTTTGTGCGCTGCTGATATTTGTTATTATGTACCAAAAGCCTTCAGCTGACTAGCAGCAGAGGTTTATATTGAATTTTATGTTACCTTACACCAAACTAGAATCCAAAGAAAGTTGTTCGTTACAAATCAATTATTAATTGTCTGATAATAAAATATAAACTTTTGGCAGTAAATAGTTTTAATTGTACCTTTTATTTTACACTTCCACTCAGAAAGATATTCTCGTAGATACATTTGCATAACTTGTTCCTTATGGTCGATTTTCAAATGCTCTCCTACAGTTTTTTAAAACAAAGTAAATTATTTGATAATTACAATAATTGTCTCATGTATCGCGAAAGATTTCAAACCCTCTCATATTAATTTCTATCTAAAATATCTAACATCTACGTCTACTAAATAGCCAAAAAGCTGCGCCTGAAATCAATGTCACAGGAGTTGCGATAGCGTCCAATTTTGCGATTGCTCATCTGTCGAAATCGTCGCATTGCCTCGTGTATTTCTTGCACGCTTATGGGTTTGACCACCTCCATGCCACGACCCTGTGTCACCTCTGGACATACATGCATCATTGCCGGACTACCTCCAGCTGAGGTGACACGGCTGTATGGCTCTGTGGTGCGGTTATCTGAATTCAACCGGGTCAGTATCGAGTAGTCCACAATAGCGGCAATAGTCTCGTGCGCCAAATAGGCCAAAATATTCATCGTGGGGGTGGGAATGCGCAAATCGGCGGGCAAGTCCAGAAATCGTCTAAACTTGTTCTTGATCTTTTCCCCGTGTCGGCAGTAGAATGAAGTTTTTCGAGCTTCGTTGAACTCGAGATACTGCTGACCAGTGAGTATTTGTGAAATGCGATCAGCGCGAAACAGACGACGCATGCGATCCTCATCGTGTAGCTCCTGTACCTCAATGACTAGCTCTTCGTCCTCCTCCGGCTGCTCTAGGTCGTCCATAAAATCCTGCGGCCTACCAGTACGAATGCTCAGAAATCTTTTCAGTATACGCATGTCCTTCAAATGTTTTCGCATGCGTGCTATCTTCACGGGATGGTTTCGCATCAGGAACTCAAAGTCCGCTTGCGAGGGACAGGGGTTCTGTTTTCGGCGCATTGCCACCAGTGAGGCTTCATTGAAAATACCACGTAGCTGCTGCTGCAGTATCTGTTCCACCAGCTTGACGCTGGCAGTTCTCGGCTGATCGCTGTCGCCAAAGCTTCGCATTATGTCTGCAATCTCTGTTAGCAACGACACGGGTGCATCGTCCGCAATTTGGATAGCGGCCACGTTTGCGTTTTGGTTGGGCGCCGTTGTTGCCACTGATTGCAGCTGCTGGTGCTGCGTTTGTGACATGTTGCCACCCTGCACCAGTATCACCTGACGATGAACGTGCACGGGTTTATTGTCTTCAAGGTTCTGCAACTGTGGTGCACTAGGCGCAGTCGATGCCGATGCAATAATGGGCGATGCAACGCTGCCCACCTCACTGGCCGCAATGGACACCGAATTTTGCCGCATCATACGCTTCGTTTGATAGTTCATGGTGATGCATTAACAAGAATATTCGCTTGCACTAAGTCCTTTTGAGACAATGCTTGTATATAAACATGGTATACGTAAAATGAACTAAATGAACAATATAAAATCAAAAAGAACACAAAATCGAGTGTAGAAGGGCTGCAATAATGAACCAATAATAATGGTGAACGAAATGAACCTTAACTTGGATTACGGATGAATGTTATAAAGCTGTGCTAGCACTAGCATCTAACAACTACTAACAAGGTAACACCAATGGAAAAATTGCTCATTTTTGTTATTAATTGTCGGTTGGCTTAAGCTCAATATATTTAAATATCATATATTATAGAATTCATCAATGCACAGAATCTGTATATTATAAAATTAGCTCTGTTGTCAGCTTTTTGCATGGGAAATAGATACTGTGACAAAGTGAGTGAGCTATTATTTACTTTGTTGAATTTACAATTTTATACTCAAAGAATTATGAGCAGATGTGTTCCCCTTCTAAATGAACCATCTCATATTGAACTGGAATGTGCAGCACTGAAATTGTGTCCAGTTATCGGTTATCAAAACTTCATTTATCGCCTAAATAAACCTGATTGCTTTAATCGATACTCGCGCACCACCATTTTTGTTTGGACAATGGAGAATTATCACTAAAAATAATTTTTAGGAATATAAGTACTAGAATTGAAAACATCGCCGTAAAAATGTTCAATGGCATGGTGAAAACCATACGTGATAGCATTGTGGGCACTTACCCATCCTGTCATGTGAATTCACGTCTGGAGGAGCGTCGTGCTAAGCAAAGGGCGATGCGACAGGAGCGAAGGAGGAAGCCAGACAAACCAGACGATTTCGTTACATACGAGGATTCTGGCAGCGACGAGGAGACTCCTCAACAGCAGGACGAGGTCCTCAACACCTCCTATAATTTGTGCGACTATCTGCGGAGCAGGGAGAATTCATTGCGCGATGTGAGTTCAAAGTTGATATGAAATGTCTTCCAGTTGCTAATGAACTTTCTACTTATACAGCGTCGCAGCGTCAATGCGGAATACACCAGTCGCTATGTGCTCACCCACGATATGTTGCGCGAGACGCAAATCAGTTTAGGTTACATTAACAAGGTATTTTGCTCCAAATGGCTGAGTAACCGTCAGGTGGTGTTCGGCACCAAGTGCAATAAGCTGCTTGTCTATGATGTGAATATGCGTCGTGTGGATGCCATTCCTACTCTTTCTAATAGTCGTGCCAATCATCCAGAGATCCAAGGCGGCTTACATGCAATTGAACTGTCACCCAGTCGGTCATTTCTAGCCACCGGTGCACGTAATTCATCTGATATCGCCGTGTACCGGTTGCCCACACTGGATCCAGTTTGTGTAGGAGAAAGCGGGCATCGAGACTTGATTATGGGAATGTGCTGGTTGGATGATCAGTTTCTTGTCTCGGGCTCCAAAGACTCTCGCATGGCTCTGTGGCGCATCAACGAAGATCATATGGACTTTCCTGACGGCGGAGAGGAATCTTGCCCCACATTTGCCACTATACATCCGCTGAGTGTTAAGGAAGTGCGCACTGCGCAGCGGGTAAGTTATTGTTTTATACAAATAAGAAATGTGTCACTTACTGTTCGATAAGTGGATTTGCAGATACGTTCGTTGTGTTTCAACAAAGAGTTCAAAGAGATCGCAGCGCTCTCCCTTAACGGCTATATACACATCTTTAATGCAGAGACCTTCAAGCAAACACTCTCACGCAAGCTCCCCAACTGCCAGGACAATGTTAGCATTGCGTATCATAGCGATGGACTCTACGCTGTCGGCTGTCGCTCCTACACGATTCTGCTAGATGCACGCACGCTACAGACGATCAAAAAGATTACATCCCGTTACAGTGGTTGTGGCATACGCGCCACATCCTTTGAGGGCAATCTTTTAACGGTGGGAACCGGGCTGGGCATGTTACTTTTCTATGACATACGGGCTGGAAAGTATTTAGAAAGCAGCGTAAATGCTTCGCGCACCGTGGCGCTCAAGTGCAGCAAGGGCATTGTGGTATGTAGCTAACAGCAAAGAACCTATATTTGATTTAATTGCTTTTATGTTGTAGTATCCGGAGGATGAAATGGACGGGTTCCAGCAGGTAAAATATGTGCCTGCCATTTACACGCACTGCTATGACAGCACACGGATGCGACTGTTTGCGGCTGGTGGGCCCCTTCCTGCTACACTGGTGGGCAACTATGCGGGGGTTTGGCAATAATTCCACAGGGCTGTCACAAATCTGATTAGTACGAGTATTTAGGCAATAGTATATTTTGTTTTTAGCCTTGTCGCCGTCGTGGCTGCGATGTGCGAAATGTGATTTTTGATTTCTCTGCTGATTTTGACTTTTTGTTTAGTTATAAAAATTGTATAATATTTGTGTTTGATTTATACAATTAATAAGTGTAAATGTATGCATAAACTTCGAATAGTTTTAGCCAATTATAGATGGTATTTATACAGTCTAAAGATATATACATACAATATACACAATTGATTTTAAGTTTATACATACACACAAAACGCAAGCATTGATTTTATAGTCTGATCTTAATGGTAATAGAATTTGAAATTAAACTATCTACAAATGCAATTTGCATAACAAAATAACTCCACAGTTTTTATATTTATATTCCTATTCTTATTTTGACATTTGACTATCGTTCAAAAAAGTACACAGCAATGTGTTTTTTACATATATATATATATATTGGTTATAGAGTGTTGTATAGGGCGCTCTATGTTATATACATACTTAAAGGACAGCACTAAATCAGAAGTTCAACAGAATCGTTTTAAAAATACATAAATACAATTTTGGTGAAAACAACCATATACAAAATTTACACAATATATAGTACATATCGAGATAAACTAGCCAATAAGGGCGACTGCATCTTCCCTACCGAGTAAGTATAATACCATTAAAGCCAAATAGCAGGAGTCAGTTAATTATTGTTGCTCGCTGTGTTCCCGCCTCCACTCCACGCACTCAAAAAGCCAGTCCAGCTGCGATTGGTACCCTCACTAGAAACTAAGTGACAAATATACTATTAAGAATTCTAACGGAAAAGGTTTTAGCTTTTAGTTTACCTTTCTGTCCTTTAGCCACACAGTTGAGCATTTCCACCTCGTTGCGACTCAACCGTAGAATTGTATTCAGTACTGGCACCAGGCGTTGCCGCTCATCAGAATTAGTCAATGTGATAAACTGTATTGTATATTTTGTAAGATTATATATTCTGTTAGCTTAACACTACACATATTTGTGAACCTATACACCACAAAAAAAATGACGAACAACAAAAAAACCGGGTTCGCTTCATTTGGGAACCAAGCGATTTTTATGATAGTGATGTTTAGTTTATAAAAAAATGTTTACCTTTAGGAATACGTTTTTCAGATATTCTGAGTTGTGCATGTGCTGTTCCCGTTCTTCGGATCGTTCCTGACGGCGGAGTTCCTCTTTGAGCATATCATTCATTTGGGTCAGCTTGGCTAGATCCTGTTCATTTTCTGCCAGCAGGGCGGTCAGATGACGGACACGGCTCTCCTGTATGCTCAAACGCTCTTTGGTGGCCAACAGTGCCGCTTGCGTTTCCCCACATCCTGCATCCAACTCTAAATCATCGTCCTGCATGCTGACGCTGCGTCCGAAATGGGAAATCGTTGTCACCGTATCGCTATTAATAGCATTCATAGATGTATTCAGTAGTTCATCCAGTGGCATAAAATCGTGGGAGCGACGCGAAGCAGTTGAAATTTTGCGTTGTGCTGCCAACTGTGCAAGTGTTTCCCCACTGCTATCGTGATCCAACAGGTAATCAATTTTACTCTGTTCTGGGCTGGTGGAGTCGACACCTACAGTTGCCGTCATGGGTCCTACGGGGCGGACCGGACTGGCATTGGCCGCCTTTTCAAACTGTTCAATTTGTTGCTGCAATTGCGCGACACGTACTTGATGCACATCGTCCATTTGCTCAATCTGGAGCCGGTGCTGCTGGAGTTGCTGTTGCTGCTGTTGCAGCTGTCTCTGATTTTCCAATGTCAGGGTCTCATTTTGCTCCCGCATCTCATCGACCATGGCAATCATTTCCTGGTTGCGTCGCAGCAGTTTCGTATTGTCTCGCTGAAGATTATCTAATTGCGACTCTAGATGAGTAATTCGCAGTGCACACTCTTCATTGTTGGTGCGCAGTTTCTGAACATTAGCACGCACCGTGGCCAGTTCTGCCTCAAGGGAATTTTCTTTATCCGTATCACGATTTTGCTGTTTGCGTAGCACCGACTGTGCCTTTAGCTTGTAGTCAAAGTACTCCGATTGGAGCTGCTCATTGGTGCGTTCGGCTTGGCGCAAAGTTGCCTCCAGTTGGTTAAAAGCGTCCTGTCGCATTTCCAGCTGTTGTATGCTGTTTGTTAGCAGCTCCTGGAAGTGCTTGAGCTTGGTCTCGTATTTTTGAGTGTTCTCAGCTAGCTGAACTTGCATTTCATCGACCTGCAGCTTTTGCTTCTCCACGCTCTGCTCCAGCGCCTTTTTGTCAGAAAGAGCCTCCTGTTTGCCATGCACAGCATCCTTTAGCTGTGCTTGCATGCGATCAATTTCCTGCTTAAGCTGTTTGCTATGTGCTGCCTCCCCGTTCTGGGCCTGCTCCAGAATGTTTATCTCCTGGCGAAGCTGGGTAATGGTGTTCTCCTTGCTAATCAATGTGTCCCTCAGCGCTTCCAGCTCTGTTGTCTTGGCCAATAGTTTTGAACTCACTTCGGCCAAAGATTTCTCAGCGGCGTCAATTTCCAGGCTTAATACATTCGAGCTCTTTGACTTCTCCTTGGATTTAAGTTTTTGGTTTTCGGCACGTGCTGCATTCAAATCTTGTTGAAGCTGCGCCTGCGCTGTTTTAATGGCTTCCACTTCGGTCTCCAGTTTAGCTGCTCCTGCTTGCTCCATGATTTTGATTTGCTGTGTCTGTTCCTGTAGTTTCTTTTTTAACTTTGCCGCCAGCGCACGCAACTTATTGTACTTCTCCTCATATCCATCGTCCAGTTCACGCAAGCGACTCAGCTCCTCAGCTCGTGAAATGGTAGAGGTAGACAGCACATCGCTCTGTGCGTCCCCATTAAGTTGCTCCTGTTGCTCCAGTTCCTCAATTTTGCTCTGGAGATGTTCCACTTGCTTTGACTTTTCAGTTAGATTCTCTGTTATCGTTTGCAACTCCTTGTGACTCTTATCATGCTGCTCCTGCATACGTGAAATGACATCGCCACGCGCCTTTAAGGCCTCATTTAGTTCACGCATCTCGGCCAGCAAATCGGCATGTTCGTGCTCCTTTAGTTGAAAGCGCGTTTGCAAATCTTCATTCTGCTGGCGCAACTCCACACAATTCGCCTCCAGTTGCGCATTCTCGCGTTCGTGTTGTAGCTCCATTATCTTCAACGAGTTTTCTTGTCGACCGCGCTCTTCCCGCAATGCCTGAGTCAAGCTCTGCATTTGATTGAGCTTTGAATTAAAGTAGGCAACATTGAAAGTGCTAACAGTCTCTACAGTTTGCTGTGAGATCTGCTGCCCCCTAACAACGTTCGCCAGCTGCTCCACGCAGGTCAACTTGGCAAGTACACGATCAATGTCTAATGTCGTCTGTGGATGGTGACTTTGCTGATGCTCCTTCTTTACCAGCTTGGACAAACGCTCTAGCTCACAAACTTTTTGCAATAACTGCTTGTTATGACTGGAGACTTGGTTCGTTGCTTTAAGCATCTCTAGCCGGTTCTTTAGCTGCATATTTTCCTGCTGCAACGCTGTCATTTTGGCACAGAGTAGTTGCGATGCTTTGATAATCTCCTGCTGCCACTTGGATACGGAAGCCGCGTATTCGTGCTGTGTTTCGAGAAGCACACACTTGCACTCCTTCAGGTTTTTGAGTTTGCGATGCACATCGATAAACCTATCTTTGAGTGAGTTAAACTTCTTTCGCTGCTCCGAGTTTAGCTGCTTTACCGACTCATACTTTTGCTGGAGCTCGGCATGTTCAGATTCGCGTTGTTTTGCCTCTTCTGCTGCACTATCAGCCTGTTGCCTTAGCATGTCATTATGTCTCTCGGCCTCTTTAATTTTGGCAATGTCCAACTCAAGAAGTTCTAGATTCTTGCGTTGTTCGCTGCCAAGAGCGTTAACCTGCTGCATAGCCTGCTCCATTCGCTCAATGTCTGCAAGCAGATCATCATTTTCGTCGCTCAGGCGCCCCAGCTGACGTTTAAGGCTCTCGTTCTCAATTTCATATTGTTCCAATCGATCGGTATCCTCTTTGACCCTGCGCTGAAGGGTGCTCAGTTGCTCTGTTAAAATAAGGTTCTTGTCGGTGAAATCCTGCAGCATCTCCTGCATTGCGGGAAGACTGCTCTGTTTGGCGGCGGCCTTTGCCAATGCTTCCTTCAGCTGACGATTCTCTTCGGTGAGCTCTGTTCATGAGATAAGCATATACTTTAGGACATAATAATGATTTTACCACATTGTCTTACCATCTTTGGCCTGCTTCGCTTTTTTGGCAATACCAAGCAGTCCTTTGTACTTGTTGATCAGTTCATCTTTACTCAGAGCTTCAATTGGATTCTTCTGCAAGCATATAGAAATACATACATATACATCCAAGCACATATTTATGTAGGTGAGACGTCATTGTTTTGCTTTCGTTGCTCTTTTTGCTTTCGCTTTTGACTTTGCAGCCTTTAAGTACCTGTGTGTCCCTAGTTGTTGTATCCATGTTCAATGTTGTCTGCCTGATCTCTTCAACTCTAACTAGCAAACATGTGTATATATTAACCTTTCGCTACCTTCTTCAAAAAATTGTACCAAATAAAAAGTGAACAACTTGTCAGATGGGTAAATTAACGATAAACGATATATTTAGTCGATGTCGCAATTAGGGATTGACAAATCGAGCTGTTATATCAACCCATCTTATTTAAATGTTTGTTCATGTTGCATGTAAATTATATGACCAGAAAATATTTAAAAAAAAATTATAAACAAAAACAACATATGTGTTAGAAAATTGAAGTTAGTCTATCACTAGACACTTGAAATGAGAGAAATGTATTGAACTTATCTTTCAGACGGTCACCCTGCAGTTGATTTTTGATTTTGTATGAATCAGCTGATTTCCTATCGATATTTTCACCAAAAACAGCCAAAATCGAAACAAGTTGAAAGTATTTTACTGTTGGTAAATGCAAATTAAGCATTTAAAGGTTAATACAATTCAATATAAGTTATGTTTCTATATCAGACATATCTTATAAATTTTAAAATCATTTTCGACATTTGAAATAGTTTATTTTATTAATGTCAAATAAAATACAAGCTTATTAAATCTACACTTGTTTAATTTGTTTGGAATCTAGTAATATTTCACAGTATTAACAGTGACTAAGAAATCGTTAATTTGTCCATCTCTAGCGATTGTTTATTTTGGTATTTTTGGAAGTATTTTATTGCAGTGGATTTGTTTTTGGTTGTTGTTGGTAGTAAATGAGCCTGAGACCATAAGCATGGATCTGAGCGACAATCAACTGGAGGATCAATCCTTAATATACAAGCATGAACAGCTATTCTGCGAGAGTTTTCCATTGTTCAAGGAGATACGAAGACTGGGCAAACTTTGTGATGTCACACTGAAGGTTGGTTGCCATCTCCAGATCTGTGCATTATCATTATCTACTGCCAGTTTCTAAATATAAACACATGCACATGCAGGTTGAGGATCAGACATTCTCGGCGCATCGCGTTGTTCTGGCTGCCACTGTACCATACTTTTATGCAATGTTCACCAACAACATGGCGGAGAGTCGCATCAGAGAAATCACTATGAAGGAGATTGAACCTAGCGCTCTGGAAAGTCTGATTAATTATGTATATAGCGGGCAGGTTCGAATCGATAACCAAAACGTCCAGAGCCTTATGGTCGGCGCTTCGTTTCTGCAACTTTCCAATGTGCGCGACGCCTGCGCTGGTTTTCTCATCTCCCGTTTTCATCCGCATAATGTGCTGGGAATACGCACCTTTGGCGACTCAATGATCTGTCGTCACTTAACCGATGCCGCGGACAAGTACATTGATCAAAACTTTGCCAAGGTATCACAATCTGAGGAGTTCCTTTCACTGGACTGCGAACAGTTGCTGGAGCTAATGCGACGCGATGGACTTAACGTGCGCAACGAGGAGGTTGTGTTTGAAGCTTGCATGCGTTGGGTTAAATACGCCGAGGAGAAACGTTCGGAGCTATTTCCACAAGTACTGGCCGCAGTGCGTCTGCCGCTCTTATCACCGCAATTTTTAGCGGACCGTGTTGCACGCGAGGAATTGATACGTTCATCTCACCAATGTCGCGATCTTCTAGATGAGGCAAAAGACTTTCATTTGATGCCTGAGCGCCGTGGCTTGCTTCAAAGTTTTCGCACTCGTCAACGTTGCGGCGAGTTCTTCACAGGCCAAATTTATGCCGTAGGTGGTCTAGCCAGCACTGGTGAGTCGGTTAGTACTGTGGAGATTTACGATCCGATTACTAAAAAATGGAAAATGGGTGAACAAATGTCCATGATGCGGTAAGTTTAAATTCTCATATATATTGTTAATTGCATTTAAATTCGTATATTTAATATTTAATCGACAGCTCAAGAGTTGGTGTGGCTGTTTTGGATGGTAAATTGTATGCATTTGGAGGATTCAACGGCACCGAAAGACTGTCGACAGTGGAGGTCTATGATCCGCGCAAAAACAAATGGTCTCAGGGCTGTGCAATGTTGTGCAAACGCAGCGCCGTTGGGGTGGCTGCTTTGGATGATTGCATTTATGTTTGTGGTGGTTACGATGGCGTTACATCGCTTAACACTGTCGAGGTTTATTATCCTAAGACCAACACGTGGAAAACGGTGTGTAGAATTGTTTCAACATATCAAAAATGATACTCATTATACCCAACACTATCATTTCAGGTGGCCCAAATGATGAAATATCGTTCAGCAGGCGGAGTTACACAGCTTAATGGCTACGTCTATGCGTTAGGGGGCCATGATGGCTTGTCAATTTTTGACTCTGTGGAGCGCTATGATCAGAACGAGGATATATGGATCAAGATGTCACCTATGCTGAATCGTCGCTGTCGATTGGGCGTAGCCACACTCAATGGAAAAATCTATGTGTGTGGCGGCTACTGTGGCAACTCGTTTCTGCGGTCCGTGGAGTGCTACGATCCGTTAACAGACACGTGGAAGCTGGTGACGCCCATGAACTGTAAAAGATCGCGTGTCGCGTTGGCTGCCAATATGGGTAAGCTGTGGGCCATAGGCGGCTATGATGGAGAAACGAATCTGTCTACCGTTGAAGTCTACGATCCGGAGACTGAAAAGTGGACCTTCATGCCTCCAATGTGCGCGCACAGCGGTGGTGTTGGTGCTGGCGTCATACGCATTGATTAGCTTGCCTAGCCAAAAAATTCTCACGTAGTTATTTGATTAGTTAATTTATACAATTATATATTGTAATCTTATGCATATTGCAAGTGTTAGTGTGCAACTAAGCTTTAGTGGTGCTACGACCACGGTTCTATTTCTAAAATTGTTTATGCGTAATTCAGGATTGATTATTATATTACATTCCAGTTGTATATTTTTGTTAGTTTGTAATTTGACTCTAGCCTAAAATACTCATTAAACCTTAGAAATTTAAAATCGTAACTCAGCAATGCAATTCAATATATACGTATTTGGACTATTTTGTGTTATCGGCGTTGACGCGTTTCGTTGTAATCAAATTATTGTTGTGCCAATTTCAAATACATATATATCTCATTTCTCGCATATCACGGCAATCAATTGCTGTGTTCCATATGTGCAAAAAATTCGCTTTGTTTGCTCAACAATATACAGACAGCAAAAACGAGAATCGCGCACAAGCTTGAAATTTACGTTCTAAGAGGGTAGCTCCATATGTTTCAACCCATATTACTCAACAGTTTGAGTTAACGCCAAGTACTTTTTAACATTGCTTGGTGTTTAGGCTTGATGGCATGGGTAGAAATAATTGTATCATCAAGTATTGACTTGTTATAATAAAAATCACTCCATTCAGCTAATAAACTCTATTGGCAACCCTCTATTATGCAGTTCAATTGTCCTTTTGGACGTCTTTTGTGTTGTATCATTTTTTAAATGCAATTTCAAATTGAATTTGTGCGACCTGCTGTTCCAGCAGCAGATCTGCCGACTCCAACGAACAACAGGTGGCGCCACCTCTACATTCTGTGGTCAGGCGGCTTATCTCAGGCAATAAATGCCATTTCCGAGACCATAATGTAATTAACAGTATAAATTCCATTTATAGACAAATGACACACCACAAAATAACACAAAACTGTCGCCGCGCTTTATCAATTTTATACGATGGTCGGGTCAAGGGGTGGTGGTGTACCATTCCCAGAATACAACGGTCTGTAAATAGGGCTTTGATCATGCTATCTGCATTATATATATACGTATATTTACATTGTCAAAGGCGTGCAGGCTTTTGCGGCAGCTTTATTTGATTTCAATAATCAAATCACCAATTGCTTGTCTATCAACAAAAGCATTGCGCAATTTTAGTTTAATTAAATGCTAATTATGTTTGTCATTGCCAGCGTAAATATTTGAACGTCTGCTAAAAAGACCAAAGCACGTGGGAGTTGGGATGAACGGCTGAATGTTGTTAATTGAAACAGTGACTATATAATACGATATTCGTTGTAAGCGTTACAAGAAGTGCTTGGCAATCTAAATGCAAATTGCAGCATTGCACAATCGAGTTTTATGGCCGCGAAAATCGTTGACTTCGAAGAATGCCAGGGTGAGGATGCGCGATAAACGGCCAGCTACACTACAGCAACATCGCTATTTTCATGTTCAATTTTAGTTAAACCAAAAACACGCACTGGCCATAGGTAAAAAACGATAAGACAACTTTTATGTATGCTAGACTGTCGGATACTCAAAGAATACGAAAACTAAGCATTGAATTTATTTTATTTCGTAATTCAAAAAAAAACAAAATATGAGTGCGTTTGGACTTCTGCCTAAAGAATACTCTAAGAAACTTTAGAAATTAAAAGTAGGGCAGATGTCATACTTAAATTACTTAGATCAACGGCATACTGTTACTTTATTTGGTTGTATACATTTGAATTTGCATTTGTATTAAAAACTGTTGTTTAACTATTTTGTTGTTTTTCGCACAGGGTACAGTAATAAACGTTTGCCTTTCGGCTATAAGCAAAGGATAACGGATGTGGGCGGTCATGTTTGCATGCACTTGGCTCTTACGAGTGGCACGTGGTATTTTTATATCTTGCCTTCTGGTTGTTCGGTCTAGGTCTTGGTGTTGATGCTCTCCAAGCTGGCCTCGCCTCAAGTGCCGCCCGACGTTTGAATGCAGTACGCGCCTAAAAGATGCAGATTTTTGCCTGTTATTGTTTCTCCCGTGCCATCGCCCATGACTGCATGACGCAGGCATAAAATTACAGAGAATTCTAAAAAAAAAATATGTTTTTGTGCGTTTAATTTAAACGGACAGTCATTATTTAGGGACTCTCGAATTATTATTTGTATTTATCGGGCTAAATGCAAATATGTAGCTTTGGATTTTTTTGAAAAGTTTATATTTGTTACTTGTTAATCGATTATTATAAGAACAGGCCAAATGAATTTTTTGGGAAAATGAATTTTAAAAAACAAATGGTGCTCCATTGCATATGATTTTCCTATATATATATATCAAGGGCAGACCCAATTTTTTCTTGTTTAATGTTTTATTCACATATGCAAACAAAATTTCCGTCCAATTCAATTGCGCGCCGCGACCTGAAAGTATGCATCCGTTATTCCTTTTTTTGTTTTCTGCAACAAAGTGGCGCCCACATAAAAGCAGACCAACACCAATACCAAACTCTGCTACATGTATGCTCGCATACATATGTACGAGTCCCATGCCACTCAGTGAATAACACACACACATACGCATACACACTCACATATGAGTTTCTATTCGACCAATTGTTGATATGCACGAACAAGAACGCGGAAAGCGACAGCCGAGCGACTCCCGAGCTGCTTCGTACTTGTCGTTTCCTGTTCGCTGTGTGAGTGTGTCTAACGAAACGTATCCAGCTGTATGTGTGTTCTGGTTGTACTTGTATTCTTCGTTGGCGGCCTGCGTCGAGCATTTATAAAGTCCATTGCCGCTTTGATCTGTCGCTCAGTTGTTGCATACTTCTCGGCGTGTTCGTTCGGTGCGTACCATAAAAAGACAATTGTAAAAAATTAAGTAGCTCACAAAGAGCTGTTGGAAAACCACAAGGCACACAGTTGAAATTTAAAATTTTAACAATTCAAAATTGTAAGTGCATTGTTATATTTAATTTTTAATACCAAGCATATTTCATAGTTTGTGGAAACACAAATTTATCTGAATTACAATGTTGCTAAGACTGTAAAAAAATTAAGATATTTACAATAGTTTTTGACTTCTATCTATTTAAGCTCCCTGTTTGAATTGTTTTGTTACAGGCAGTTAACCTTATCTTGCCTTGTAACGAATTCGAAATCATTTAGAAAATTACACAAAAAAGATATAAGTTACAGACTGAATGTTTTGCTCAGTTTGCGTGTCGAATTAAGTAAAAATAAAAATGTACTGTTAAGTGTTAACAAAGTGAAGAAACTCGAAACTGTTTTTCAGCCAAACATTCTCAGTTGTTGAAGCTTGCTTGGGAAAAAAAGATGTTAAAGAAACTAGTTTTCTGTGCAAGATTGCTTTCCATGAGGTCAAGCCCAGCACTTAATATTGCTTCTGCTGGAAGACCTCATTTTATCCTTAAAAATTAAATAAAATAACCCAGGATGTTGTTGTTTTAAGAATCGACTTTAAATGACAAAATATTAATCATTTTATTTATATATATACAAAAATATTTAAGAACAGAAAATATTTAACTGTTCAAAGAAAATTTAAGTTGATTCAAATGTGGATAAATAAACACCATTTAAATAGAATTTTTTTTTAGGTTTGTTTTCAAATGGATCAATATGTTCTAAATGCACGAATAATTCTAATAATAATTTGTTCAATTCGGGAATGTTATCCGTAATGCGCAGTAGACTGCGAAAATGCTATTTAAACACTTCATAAAGACAATGAATTAAATTCAATGATGTCCACCGAACTTACAATAATTAATATGTTTCTTAGTAATTGTTCACTTGTATCTTATCAAAATGTTTTGTGACCTTTCATATAGTTAGCAACTTGACATTTGAACGCCAGCCGGCGGCTAAAGCTAATAAAAACCTACATCAATGCGGAGATTTACTTGTGCCACGCATCGGCGGCTCGGAGCCAACTAAAGCCACTCGCATCCGGTGTTGTGATATGACACACGCATCACCATTCGGGGACACAAGATTAAAATTCTGTAAAAACTACAAATGGGCAACATGGGGCGACGCTTTAAAACAGCCTCTGGGCCATTACTTGTTTTATGTCAACTTGGACAGTCACAATTAGTACATAAATACGTACATGAGTAGCAAGTAGAACAAAATGTTTGTGCACAGCACTCTTACACACCTACACAGGCTTTGTACACATTTCAAAGTACTCGAGTTGCAGCTGCGCCTAAGAGATGCTTTAAAAAATAAATATCCGATGGTAAGCTGCGAGTGTGACGCCCATGGCGCGGTCTAATGAACCTGAACAGCACGTACAAAAAGAATTGTAGGAACAGGTCTCATTACAGCAGCGTGATGGTCAAGAGGGTGTTCCTATTAGAAACTCAAAATAGATATATTAAAGGTTATGTTTCTGGTTATATCTATTGAATAAAATTACAAACTATTTATAAGCTTTGGAAAACATAAAATCAAACATAAATTCAAAATAAGATCCCAAAAAAACAAATCACTTTAAAATCGTATTATTTTCTTTTCAAATATTTTTGAAATCAATAATAAAAGGTATTGATATTACGGAAGCAATCGATCGATTTTCATAATAAATTTTGCGGAAAGCATGTTTTAAGCTTTTATTAAACTGTGAAAGAAATTTCACAATCTATATTAATTTAAATTAAAAAATAAGATCCGCGAACTTAACCCTGAGGCGCGACGTCGTTTCGAACAGCCTACAATTTCGTTTGGGTGTGCAGCTCATTATGCATTAAACATTTTACAGTTTAGTTAATAGGTCATTTAGGATCATGAATTAAACGTTAAGTAGTTCAAATTAACTCAGCATGACAGCATGGTTTTTTTATTTTTTTTCTTAGTCAAATTGAAAATTAACTCATTTTCGCAGCGTTTTTTTAATTTTATTTTTTTTTTTGCCGTTTAATCTGTACGTTTTTTATTATTTAACATTATTACCTAGACGTTCAGTTATCCTTACAAGCCCAACGGTGCGAAGTTTAAATATCGCTTCAATGCGTTTTCAATTTAAAGGGTCTATTATAATATATCAAGTCTATGGATCTGGCGTCGACGCACACATATATTTCTATATACCCACATTTTAACCGGGGCGCTATAACTAACGAGCCAAGACGGCGAATTTGAACTTCTGCGGACTGTGGTTCACCAGCCTCTGCGCTGCTGTAGACTTCAATCATTTGGGATTAATTTGGGAAGGCG